AACTGCCCTAGATGCCGGACTAATAGGCGTTTTTGCGCCAAAATTTGTGTTTTTATGAGATTTATCTAGTTTCTTGACGTAATCTTTTGAGTAAAACATATCGAATTTGGTATTTTTGTAAATATTTTTAAACGTTCTACAACTTTTTTCATTGGTGGTTTTTGATAAATTGTATCAATAAAACGTTACAAACAAAAATAACACAAAAATATTTAAAAATACAGGTTTTTGCAAAATTACGAAGAATGTACTAAACATACAACAAATGTGTAAATTTAAAACAGGTAGCATTTAAAATTATCTTTCAAATAAAAAAAAGTTCATTCTGATCCGACAAATAGTTTGCGAAATATACGATTTAAAAAAATCAATGGCCGCCATTTTGATGACGTCATAGCTCGAAAGAATACGCGAAGTTTGCGTACAGCGAAATTTGCGTACAGCTGGAATTTAGTGAAGACTGCGTACACTCGCCAAGTTGATGTTTGACGAAGGTGAGACAAGGCCTGACCCTTGAAGCAATGGAATTTGACAGGCGAAGTTTGCGTACACCACCAAGAAACGGCTAGGTATTGACAATGGAACATTTGACCAAAGTAAAAATCACTTATTACAGATTATATAAAACCGATACAAAGAAAAGTATCTAGTTTTGAAATTACTATGTAAATAAATAAATATGTGTAGATGTAACAGCCACTCATACAGTACTAGACAAATTTGACAAGCCAAATTTAAGTCTGGAAATGTATAAAGTGGCCTTTCGGTCTTTTCAGTTGTAATCCTATTTTGCTGTTCTTATCATGTACATTCTTAGCGGTCACTATTTACATCAAAGTTATTTTTAATTTACAATATTTACAGTTTCTTAATTAAAAGTATTTTTTGCTGAGTTCTGTTTGGTTTGTAGGTTTAACTAACCTGTTGTACATGGCTAAATATATAGTAACCTTCCACTGATGAATACAACGTCGCAATCCCCCGTTAAATATCTTTATTCACTGTGCTTTAACTGTAAAAGTTATAGTTACATATAAATACTATTTTTAACATAAAAAAATCTTAGTTTCAATCAATGTTACTTCAGATAACAACGTTGAGCTACTATTAAACATTATTAGTTAAGAGACACTTTATTTTGGGTACACGTTATTATTTGTGGTCGCTATCTAAATGCTGGACAAAATGATCGAAAGAATACGCAAAAATATCAAGACACTAGAGACATAGCTTCATGTTTGAAAGTGATATTATACCTCCACAAACTTGGGTAGTAACTATATTTAACTATGTGCAAGTTTGTTAAGCCTAGTAGAACTGACTAATGTAAATAGTTTTAATTGAGAAACTGTATTATTGTAGACTAGCAACACAGCCTGTTGTGGTTAAATACAACGGTCTCTAGTAAAATAATGGTTGTGAAATACATACACCACTTTACTCACTAATATTAATGGTACAGATTAAGCACGTACCATTAGAATGGCATACTTAACATAAGGAACTCACTTTAAACACAAATGCAAATTGTGAACAACAACATTTAATCAAAGAAGTATCAATTAAATAACAATATAACAATAAGCTGTTAAATTATTAACACATGTTTTGTATGTTTAGATTATGCATACTGGTAAACCAATTATTGCCATCTATAAAAAAAATTACCATAAACTTCTTGGAAACACTAAAAAAAAGGCCGCAAAAAGTCTCACCCAAATAAAAAGTGTGAAAAACACCGTTTTCAATGTATTTCTGATGGAAAACATGATTTTTTTTATTTTCACCACAAATTATAACAAAACAAAACGTTCATAATTATTTGCAAACTAGCTGTACCCACGGGCTTTGCCCCGTTTAACTTCATAAGTATTCGCATGGCTCAATCACGTCCCGGTTGAAGTTCGTTCGCTACGCTCTTTCACCTTCAGGTTGGAAATCGTTCGCTGCGCTAACTTGTTTTCAGGTTAGCTCGTTCGCAACGCTTACTCGCCTCCAGGTTGATGTTCGTTCGCTACGCTCACTCACCTTTTGGTTGCAAATTAGCTGTTCATAACATGCTGTCATACATTTTAAAAAGTCATCCCTTTTATTGTTTATAATACAGTACTTTTATAAAGGTTTTTATGTTTTAATATTTAACATTGGAGAATTTAAACGTTGTTAAGTGCACAGGTGTGCTGCGATTGGGGTTTAATACATGTGGACTTATTTAAAAGTAAAATAGTTTTCTGTGCTGCAATCTGTAGAAACACTGTGGCACTATTTCAAATCATGACTAATGCTAATACAGAATGTTGTAGTTATTCAAACGTACAAAACAGTTGGTGAAAGTAAACATCTGCTTTTAAATTATATTTATTTGTAAACATTCTAGATCAAAAAGTCTGACATTGGCCCACTTAAAACCCTCTGGGGCAGAGCCCTTTTGACGGATCTGCACCAAACTTCACTCGAACCATCCTTGAAAGATGCTTAATAATGCCTGAAAGTTTCATTACAATCTGTCGAGCGGTTTTGGAGTCCATAACGTATATACACATATATATACATACATAGTTCCTCTTTTATAGATATAGATGTACACGAATTAAGCTTTCCAACGACCCATTAATTAATCAAATCGGTCCAGTAGAACTCTAGATTTAGTTGTACAAATATTTTTAAAAACTGAATTATATACAGTATAGAATAGATTAGTAACAACTTTGATTGTCATAGTAGCCGCTAAGTATTTACATAATCAGAACTGTAAATAGGAATAAAAATGATAAAACTGACAAGGCCAAAAGACCACTTTATACATTTCCAGACTATATTTGTGGCCTAAGACAAACCCGTCTAGTAATGTATGAGCGGCTGTTACATCCGAAAATCCCATAAGACCAAGTTACCTCTAAATTCATTTATCAACATAGTAATTTCAAACAAAGCTCGATATTTTATTTTAACAACATATTTGGGATATGTTATTTAAGTATTATAAATATAGTTATTATTAGTTGTTAGTCAGTTTCACCACTTAATATAGTTAGTAAGTTTTATGTAATCAGTGAGAACTAATTTGTTGCTTAAGTCAAATGTTAATAGTCAACACCTAGCCGTGGTTCTTGGTGGTGTACGCAAACTTCGCCTGTCAAATTCAACTGACACATAGGTCAGGCCTTGTCTCACCCTCGTCAAACATCAACCTGGCGAGTTGTACGCAATCTTTGCTAAATTCCAGCTGTACGCAAATTTCGCTGTACGCAAACTTCGCGACACCGCTCGAAAACGTACCAGGTGCGAACTTGACACCCGAGTGGAAAACACTTCCTAAGACACCTATATTGAAATGCAAAAGCAAAATTCTCTATACACGACATGCACACAGAACCCTAGTCAGGTCCTGGACTAATATACATGGTAAAATACTAGGATGTTCACATTATTCTTTTAAGTAATCTTTGTAATCTTCGGTTTGTTTTAGTGCAATATAATTTGTTTTAACTAACAGCTTTATCTTTGTCATTTTCATCTTTGACAAAAACTGTATGTTCTTCTTGGATGCCTTAAGTGCACTGTCACTATTCATTGTTGTAAATCATTTCAAGTTATGGGGTTCACATAAATAAAAACATGGTTGAAATTTACTTGTAATCTTGAACCCAGATGCACTGTATTTTAAATGGAGGAATTGTTTTGAATAATAATTTTGGATAAGCCAATGAATAAATTTTGATTATAAATTATATATATGTTGAGACAATATGGTTTTAATAATATTAACAATGAACATGAATAAATATTGAAAATATAACAAGATTGAGTTTGGAATTTAAATAGGAGTATTTCATAAACACGTTGAATTGATTATTAATCAGTCATATAGAATGTTAGGTCTTATAATTAGAAATACCAAGAATTTCAGATCTATTGACCCCGTTATTAGATAGTTTTACTCATTTGTTAGAAGTAAGCTGGAATATTGTGTTTTACTTTGGTTTCCTTTCAACTCACACCACAAAAATGCAATAGAAATTGTCCAAAATAAATGTCTACGATTCTTGTTTAAAAAAAGGTATAATCAGAGATGTAACTGGCATATATCAACATCAACTGTTTTATTGAGAGAGTTGTTTGATTTCCAAAACCTTTTTATTTTGTATCTCTCGTAACACTTTGTTCAATTTTACAGTTTTTCACTTTTTACATGCTTACGTTTATTAAATGTCCACAATAATAAAATAGATGTTTTTTCTGACACTATTAAGCAGTTTAAACTTGATGCATTGATTACGTAATGTAATCCATCCCTTTAGATTTGCAGCCAAAATAAGTAAAATTTTCAACAACGATGTCCATTTTTTAAAACGTTTTATTAACTTGTATTCACTCCTTTTTACTATTAACATCACTGGTTTTTATATTGCCTATTTATGTGCACAATTTTTTTTCTTTTTGTTCTTCACTTTATTGTATTATTAATATTGTATTACTTTTAATTATAGCTGTTTTTGGTTTATACCTGTAGCTATTGTAAAGTGTTTATAAATAAGTAAATAAACAAGGAGACTTCACGCTCATTTAAATTGGCTTAAAAGTTAAAATCATAAAATAATATAATTCTGGGATTGATCCCGGGATTGGCTGAGACGAATCCTGAAATCCCAGGATTGGATTGAAGGCCTGGGATTGAGACCCCTAGTAGCCATCTAAACTGTTGTTGAAGTGTGAGTTCAGGAGAATGATAAACTTATGCTGATCTTGTACTGTTACGTCCTAAGGTACATATAAGGACTGAACTTACATTATTAAGGAGGTTTTCAGTTGTGTAATAGGCACCTATAAGGACAAATTTTCACCAGATTTAAACTAAAGGGTATTTTTTACATATAATTACACTTCTTTCAAAATTACACAAGTAGAAGTTTTAATCATATAATAGCGTAAAGCATAAAATATGTTTTTATAGAAGGTGAGTTTACATTTGATGCTATTTGAAATGACAATGTTGTCAGGTATGGAACCAAGGAGCGTCTCCGTTACAAGCTGCTTCAAGCCATCCAGCAAACACAGGGCTTCTCCCTTGTATAGGTGAGATGCACAATGTACTTTATTGTAGCATATTGGTGGAAGGCTTATTAGTACCTTGATAATCTGGCTTAAACGGGCGGCCGGTAGAACTATCAAAACACCAAAGGGGAGGGTCATCTTGATCCGCCACTGCAGTTAGAGAACCATGTGAAACCGTGTGGACATCATCATTGGCTTCCGCGATCACAGCCAAATATTAGATATCTCCCTCAGTCACAGGCATATCATCCTTGTCCTCCTCCACGATCGGGGCTAATTCTTGGATTTCTAGCACAGTCTACTAAACATCATCATCATAGTCTTGTGCGGTTGCGGCAAAATTGTGGGCATCTACTGTGGTTGTGTAAACATCATCGTCTTTCACAATCGCAGTAAAATCTTGAATATCTCTCGCGATTATATAGACATCATCAACATCGTCTCCCACAATCATGACATCCACCGTGATCACGGACTCATCATCATTGTCTTCCATGATCGTGGTTAAATGCTGAACATCTCCTGCGGTTGTTTAAACACCATCATCATCTTCTACATGCTCTGTGGTTGTGTAGACATCACCATTATTTTTTGCAACCGGGGAAAAATCCTATACATCTACTGTAGCTATTTAAACATCATCATTGTCTCCCGAAATTATCATCATCATCTGCAATCGCCGCAAAAGTGTGAATAATTTGATCACGTGATCTTCATAGACAACTAATAAAAGACAATAGATTAGGATAGAGGAGAACAAGGACTAAGGAAGGAGGAGGAAGGTTGGATGGACTATAGGAGATAGGCAATCTTAAAAGCTTGCGCACACCTCTAGTTTCTATCCTTAATGCCAACACTTAAGGTGAGTTCAGAACCACCATCATAATCACTATCACAAAATCAAAGCTTTTGGTGATATGTGGTATTTGTATTCAGAACAAGAGATTCAAACTCTTAACTACTAAAGCCTCCTCTAAAGCAAGGCTGTGGAGAGATAAAAGTGGCAACGCCGCAGACCTTCCATACTGAAATAGCTATTACTCTAATTTACAGTAAATTAAAGAGCAATCCCTAAAAACTTAAAAAATGAAGTGATATTAATTTGGAATTATATCATCTTTATTCTGAAGTTGTACGTGTATTATTTACAAAATAATTTCCTTTTTTCTTAAGTATTCATGATGGAAAAGTCACAAATTTAACTCAAAACACGATGATGTCAAATACTTTCAGTGGAATAAATTATGGTATAGTAGAACCTCGCTAATCTGTCACCTACAGGACCAGGAGCATGGTTGGAACAACAAAAAGGTCGGATTATCAGAGGAACCCGTTAATTGACATAAAAACATTGTAAAACTGTATTTTGAACAGACCACTTAATCCACCATGACATAAAACAGTCATTACTAACTCATAATCAAGCCTAATACTGTGTTAATGGACTTAAATGTGATAATTTGCATATAATCAAAATACAATTACTGGGCTATTGCGCAATCATGATAATTATGTGAAGTCATTAACCTTGGTTCAGTAATAAAAACTGTAACGTTTAAAATCACAACTTTCTCAAACATTTACTCAAACAAAAAAATTGCTAAAAACTGTACAGCAAAATAAAGAGCAGAACAACAGAAAGTCTAGTAAGCTACTGTTAGTAATAGGATACTTTTACACTGTTCCAGGACAGAAGAATGTTGATCAAAACATTAAAAACGCATAAAAAGTATAAAATAATAGTAGCCTACTTATAGATGATAACAGTCGTAAAATACACTGATAAAGATAACAATGACATAAAAAAATTCTTCTTTGCTTATTCTTTCTCTTTGTTCTTCCATACTTCCTTGAGTTTCTCTCCATCCACCCAGTCAACAAGTTACCATGGTTACTAATCACCCAATCACAGGCTACTAAAATTTTCATGGTTACCCAATCACAAAATGTTGTGACATAGCAAGCGCACGGCAGACAGATGTGTAGGCCTAAGGAGCAGACGATTGTCAGTGCAAACGGATAGCTTTGTTCGACATTTCTTTGTTTTTCTTCCATTTTATTTTTTCAAATAAACTGTGATTTTTTAAAAACAATAAAGTATGAGCCTACTGCATATAAAACAGAAGTAGATACACAACAAATTTCAACATGTTATACTAAAAAAACACAATTTATAAAACTTTCTAGGTTTTTTTCTTGGACAATGAGGTTAGGTTAGAGGAAGCCTATTATGTTGGTGGCACGGTCGGACCATCCGAGGTCGTATTAGCGAGGTTCAATAAAAGCAGTTCAGCAAGAGTCAATAAAAATTCTTTATTTTAATACCTTTAGTAATACTAATTGATGCTTTCCAAGTCCATCGCATTAGAGTACAGAACTTTTTAAAGATGCAAGCAACCATTTTGTTACGATACAGGATGTTTATTTAGAGCCTATAACATCCTGTGGACTTATGCGTATTGTTCCCATGGCCAAGTGTGGGAGCGGATGCCCAGATTCCTAGAAAGCGTTGGTTATACCAAACTGCTCTCAAAACAAGGTCGGTTAAAACAAACAACTGTAATATTTTACGAGCAAGGGCGAATAATCCGATTATCGGTTAATGCGAGGTCGCTTAAGAGGTTATACTGTATAATGAATCGTCTGTGAAATATTTAGGTTTAATGGTTAGTTATTCCTGTTATTATTATAGGCAATAGGCATGCTGTTGTGACGTAGCACACACCAATGCCGCGGCCTTGTATTAGAGGCTAGCCCGTACATACTGCTTACCATTAGTTCTATAGTATTCTTGGGTGTTCTCAACTGTTGTTTTATTTGCTATTCTTTAAATGTTTGGCGGTATCAACCTTGTTATCTACACTCAAAAACACACAAATTCTTCAATTTTAATTTTAAAATGTTTTTTCAACCCCTCTTGTTTTTGCAGGCTGTTGTTCATTCTCACACATGGAAAATATGGTTAACCCATTGTGGAAAATAGTATATTTGTTAAACAAGGACAAATTACAGTTTTAGTGACCAGTTTTATTATAAGCTACAGTTTTAAATAATATTGTGATTTTATTGTAATAACTAACAAGTCCAAGATATTGTGTGCATTATTTCTTGACTTGCAGCTCCTAGACATTCTGCACTATTTTTGCATAACTACTTATCTTAGAATTAGGAGCATATTTTCCAAGGATAGGACTTTGATTAAACACGATACTGAAAATTGACTTGAAATTATGTATTATTAGTCTACTGACAACACTTTGGTTTATTTTGGTTAATATAGACTACTAAGTACTTAAAACTTCCAATCAGAGTTTCCATCTTCAAAGTCGAATGAGAAATATAAAATGATATTTTTATGATTCCTGACAATAATTTACTTTCTTGAGCTACAAACTTCTCACTGAACTACAAATTCACAGACTGGATTTCAGTTCTTCAACCTTGGGTAAGGAATAGTTGAAGGGGTTTCAGGCCTGCAGAGGTAAAACAATATTTTGTCCCATTGAGAACTTCTTCAGAGAGTAAAATATCAGTGACATGTTGTGTGACTTTTTTTGCATCTATAAAACTCGAGACTATTGATTTTCTCACTTAAGCTAGCTGAGCTCAAAACCTCGTAACCTCATAGAAATACATCATAGATGTTACTTACAAGATATCTGTATTGTAGTATTATTTAACGTATTTGATAGATAATGTCATGTATGTGGTAAGTGGTGGTTTTAGTTATAAGGTGTTGAATTGTGAACCCGTCAAAGATTTCAGGAGTGTTAAAATGTTATTTTGTATTTATACCCAAGTTTTCGTCTCTATTGTCTTCTTTAAAGTTTTTTATAGTTATTATAATATTTAATTTAATGCTAGTAAGTAATATTTTAATTCTATGGTGGCATAATGTGTAATATGTTTTTCACCACACATACAAAATCAGTATCCATAGCATTGCAATAGAATTTCTTTTGTCACTGCTGCCTAACAACTATTTATTATTATTTTTGCTGATTCCTCAAATTATTTCTTTACATAACCTTAAAGTTGTAGTTGTGTTGACTATCAGTGTGCATTATTATTTTGGTGAATAGTGTTAATAGGGTATAGTGTGGTGAAAAATAGCGTTCGTACCAAAGACCGAAATGATTTTGCAGCTATATTCCCAAAAAATGTCTAATAATTTCAATAATATATCTTTGTCATTACTCATCACTAATGTTAATTGATTTAAAGTATCAAAATTATAATGGTGTGGTAGATTGTAGTAGTATTATCTGAGCAATGATCTTGTAACCAAAATGTATTGAGTTAAATTTGGTCTTTGTAGAACCTTGTGAAAATAAGGATAATCAACCATAAATTTCTAGACATGTTGTATTATTACACCATAAACAAGTTTAAAGGTGATTTGAATCTATATTTTGGAGTACTTTAAAATATTTTCTAGCAAAAAAACAAATAAAAAAAGACAAATTCACTCAAATATTTATTTATTTGTATAACTACTAGGTGCAGTTCCATTATTTATTGTCAAAAGCCTTGCAAAAAATACAATGTAACTAGAACTGTTAATGTACATAACCCTTGTATATAGCAATAAAGCTTAGATATTAAGCAGTTTAAGCAAAAATAAAATTCAGCAGGGTTGACAGCTCACTAGATTAATCGAGTGTGATATTATAATAAAAGAAGACATTACTTGCATTTTATCATGCATTTGAGCAGTAATCCCAATAATGGGAAATAATGTATAACTTTCCTGTTTCTCTTTTTCTCTTTTATTACATATTATTTTTTTACTGTAACGGAAGGTCTCACCACATGTATATATGTAGATTGTAGATTATATCATTCATTTCTTGCTTTCCCTGGATGTGGTTATGGTAATTTCAAATATTTTGCGGTGCTACAAATTTAACATATTAAAAAATATTCTATTTTAAACCTATGTTTAATTATTTTTTTTTTACTAAACAATATACATTTCTTCTGAGCCTGTAGAGCAAGGAGATTGTTAAACACTATTACTACCTCCTTGACTACATTTGAAAAACTAAATTTGTTTTCTAATGTACTCCACTTCTGTCCAACCCACAGTTCATGTTCCATATATGTGCCTTAGTTCTTTGATTATTCAACTCCATGACTTATATTTTAGGCTTAGGATTACAAAACAAACTTGTTTTCTCAGAAGGTTTGTGTATGTTGCTCTTGAGTTGTTCATCTACTACCGAGCTAAGCCTTAAGCACCTGACGCTCACTACTCGTGGTTACCGGTTAAGCTATGTTACATCGATAGTTCTGTTAGTGACAATAACATGACTTGTATCTAAATACTAGTGATTGTTCATGAAAACTACTGTTAATATTGCAATGGTTGAATACATTTGTTTTATTTTGCTGTAATTGCAAGATTATTTATCCTCCCAATGGCTTTTATGAAATTTAAGTGATTAACTCGAGATAGTAATAGTAATGTCCAGATAGTATAAATTAATTAAATGTGTGACAAAAACATATTAGGTCCCCAACAGCTGTAAATTATAGATCATTGATTGAGCGGAGCGAAGCTCTTATACTACACCCCTGCTTTTGTTTTACAAATACTCCTCCTGAACGGCAGAAGCGATTTGCACGAAATTTAGCACAGTCATAGTAAAAAACCATGGGAAGGTATAAATCTGAAATGGTACAAATCTGACCACAGGGCTTTTCACTATCGAACCTAACACTCGCCTATTGGGTCTGATGATGATTGGAGTATCCAATCGAAATCGATCACCACTTACCAACTTTTATATGTATTTACCGTCTTGTGAGTCAACAGTATAAGTGTAAATATATTATTACAAGTGTTATTAGACATATATGGTTTTTATTCAGATATATATATACAGGGTGTTCAAAAAAGGTGGGGATATATTTTACCTAGTGATCCCTTGGGCCAAAATAAAAAGAAAATCACATATAACATTTTTTCCAAAATCGCTTCGCTAACCAGATATCCGCCATTTTCTATTTTTTACATAAACATTTTTATCTTTAGACTTTTTCAACCAATCTTAACCCTTTGCGATCGGAAGGCCAGCAGGAGTGGCCACAACGCAGTCTGCAGCCAATCGGAATTCAATCCGTACTGACTTGGTTCCAACGGTCGGGTGGCCAGCTGTACTGGACAAGTCCTAGTACACGCCCCCTCGGCATTCATCATGGCGGCTCGCTCCCAGCAGCTCGGAATTGTTTTTACTGAAAACCTGCAATGTTAGCATAGGGGATATAAATTGTAATAAAACAATCGTAATGTTATAATGACAACTGATTTATTAAGTAAAAAAAACAGAAGAGATATTGAATATATACATACATTTGTTTGAAAATGAAAATTCTTTGACATTACGTATTTACTCAAAGTGTAAAATGAACGTATGTAGGCTACTCATACAAACAATGAGTTGAAAGTTCTCTTTAATCGTCTCGGATTTTTTTCACTGAATGATATTTTTCGAAACATTAACCCATGTGAAGTCCGGGATTGTTAGAACAAGTTTTACAAAAAAACTTTGACTTTTTTCTTTCTTTTCCTGGTCTTCTATCGCTACACACCGCACAGTCCTTTGTTTTACCTCCCTCAAGCGGATAGGGCAGATGAAGTTTTCCATTAAGTCGCTCGTCCTCGACTAAAGATGATGGTCTTCCTCGTTTTCGGACATTTCTTACTTCTCCAACCAGTTCTTTAATCAACATTTTTCTGTAACGTCTCTGGCGAACTACATTTTTCCTTTCTTGATTGGTATTGTATAGAATGAAGGAATTTACATTCGCTGTTTCTAAAAGACAAAAGAACATTTTCCTCCACCATTTCAGAGATTTTCTAGTAAATGATTACGAGGAAATGTACTGGTCTGCGATGTCTACACCACCCATATGCTTATTATATTCACAAACTGCAGTAGGTTTTTTTACCAACTCCCCTACTCCCCCTTTCCTGTAGCGCCTAACCGTTTGGGTAGAGTTATCACCGAACAGTGTACTTAAAATAGCCACCAATTTTTTGTCTTTCCACAACAGAAGAGACACTTCATATTTTTTTCTGTAGATTTTTGTTTCCCCAGTTTTTAATTTCAACTTAGGTTTAGGCAGGTTCTTGTTTGTTTGTTTTTTTGCTTTGTCCTTTTTAGGCCTAGCTGGTCTCACTTCTTCCGGCAATCCTTTCCTGTGTAGCGTGATAGTGCCGGTTGTATGGGCTTTCCATGCTAATAGTGCCTCTGCCAAATCAAGATTGGAGTAAAATCTGTCAGTGAAGACGTGAAGCCCTTCAACATCTCCCAGTGTTTGCTTAAGTTTGTCCACTAGGTGTAAAACAACACGACTTGTAGCTCCTAAATCAGGCCTAATCAAGCGCTCTGTGGTTGTTTTACCAAAATATGGTTCAATGGCACAAATATAGCCCGTAGTCGAATCTGACAAGACGAAAACCTTGATTCCTCATTTAATGGGTTTGTCCTTGTTGTAGGATTTAAATAGGATCCTTCCTTTGAACCCAATCATACTTTGGTCTACACTTACTTCATGCTGTGGGATAAAATACTCTCTAAATTTCTTATCGAGGTATGCAGCAACATTTCTTACCTTTCCTGATCGAGTTAATGTCCCAGCTAGGCCAGATGGGGATGGGGAGACATGCAGATTCCAGAAGATTTGTAAAAATCTTTCCTTACTGAACACATCTTTGAAGAATGGTTGGTAGTCAACCCAATTGTTTGAAAAGTAGTCACCTATCTCTGGTTTCTCATTCATCCCCATGTTAATTATGAGTCCAAAAAAAGCTTTCAACTCTTCCAGTGTAAGGTCTTTCCACAAAAGCCAGATGGATTTCTTCTGAAGTGGTGTATCTTTTCTGCAGCATACCGGTTTGTTTCTTTCACTATCTCTAACATTAAATCATTTGTGAAAAAAAGCTGAAAAAAGTCCAAAGGTGTTGTTGGCGTTTGGTCATTTGGTGGCTCATAACCACCATCATGTTTCCACAAAAACTTATTAAAATTATTATCCCCTTCAGACCATACCTTCCACTGTCCCGACACACCCATACCTTCTTCATTATCTGTCCCTTGGGCACCTTCACCATTGTTCTCTTCAACTTCCATGCCATCATTATTTCCACTTTCATGAACTGCTTCCGTGCTTAAATGTCCATTAAATTCCACATAGGCTGCTTGAACTCCATCACTTCCACAGTCCTCTTCAAAATTTTCTTGAGCTTCATATCCATCATCAACTTCTTCAAAAACCAAGTCCTCATACTCTGCAGCTAAATAAGTTGAATTAATGTCACTTTCGTGGTCTGATCCATAATAAATATCGGGATCGTCAGCATCTTCTTCGTCGGCAAACAGTAGATCTCTCAATTCGCCTGATCTTAAACGGTCGTCCATAATTTCTTATTTAAATATAGGGTAATTATATCAATCACGGACGTGTCGCTAAAAAATATTTTTTCTCACTATTCTTATGCTAAATTACGTCCTGGATTCAAAAATGATTGTCATTTTTTTTTGTCATTTTTCGGAAAAGCACCGTTTTCCCGGAAAAGTGGAAATACCCCCGCCGCAGCAAACCTGCAGACTAAGCGAATTTCCAATAACCTGATTGGATTTACACTAAAATGCCTCCATAAAAATAGCACATTTATTTCCTATTTAAATAGAATTAGTTTAACGAGTACTTAGGTTTGCTGCAACAGGGGGGGGGGGGGGTAAAAAAAGAATTTTTTATAAAATGATAATAGTTTAGTAAGAAATAAAAGTATTTTCCAAAATCAATCAAAATATGTTCATAAACAAGCAAACTACAACAGTTGACTTATTCTCCATAAGAATAACATGGGAATTTTAAAATTACAATTTTTTAAATTTTCTCCGTAACAATTAGGCGCATAATAACACTTCAATATACTAAATTATTTGTTTTTTTAAGCTCTACTAAATGGTTTAAAAAGAAATTGTGAAATTTTGTGTTTTTAGGGTCAAAAATGGGAAAACCCTATTTTTACCCCATAAAACCCCCCATAAACCCCCGTTCCCATAGTCCGATCATGCTGGTTCGCGAACTCATTCAAGTTTATCCCGCCTTACACCTTCAAACCAAATTTTATCAAAATCGGACAAAAATTACTCAAGTTATCGTGCGGATGGACATATATATATATATATATATATATATATATATCTCTATATATAGATATATAAAAATTTGAACGAATGGTGTTTTTGGCCTCTGGGGACATCAAAATGAAAAAGTAAATCGGTCCCGGGCTTAGGTCTTACCATGAGACCTACGGTAATAGCTACTTCCCTATAGGGAAATTCGCTAAAACGTAAAAAACAAAAAAAGATATGGGTCATGTGTATACTCAAATCAACCGGTAAAGCGAGCTGAACAAGAATATGTAAAAAATTTCAAGATCCGATTAATATTAATGGAGATACGGCCGAAAAAGCGCGGCCCGAAAAGTTCATTAGTCACAGGAACAACGGACATCAGGAGGATCCGTAGGTGCTGCTGTCTGTGGGAGCGATTTAGAGGTTATTTGGTGAATATATATTCTTTATACCCTTGATTATATTAGGTTAGGTTGGGTTAGGTTAGGTTAGGTTAAGTTAAATTAGGTTAGATTAGGTTGTCTAACCTTACCTAACCCAACCTAACTTAACCCTAGCAGTGGCCAATGCTAGAAGTGGGGACGGCCAACCCATTTTGGCGATTTTGCAGACATTTTTTTGAAAATTCGTAAACATTCAACCGTACAAGTAAACCTAGCCAACCTCATATTCATTTTGTTCGGAAAGAACAGGAGAATCTAGAAATAGTAATATCATAATGATTTAGACAGTGTATTTGATCGGTAAAGTGAAAAAAATAAAAAAATTTGAATTTTTTTTTTGAAATTTCAAAAGCGGCCTCGGTATTTTTTTTTTTTTTTGACGGATTTTTTATGGGAGATTCATTATATACATTTTGTAGACAATCTAATTCCCTACACAGAAATATATAACATGTTAGGAAAATATTTTTTTTATAAGTTTTTGGGGCGAAATATAATGACAAACGGAGAACCGAAAAAATTGAAAACCGTACAGTGTTAGTTTATGTTGTAAAAAGTTACATAATATATGTGTATACTAATAATGATATATACATGTTTGTAAAGCTAATGAAGTAAGGAATCAAAACAAGTCATAAAGTTTATGGTAAAAATAATTTTTTACCTATTAACATACATATATAAAATAATGTTTTTATATTTTAGCGATTTCGCGAGAAAAAAAATTCACAGTATTTAGTATACAACTTTTGTACCAAATTTTTTTACTTCACACCAACATAATAATTACCAAATAGAGGCTTGGAATAATAACAAACATAACCCAATTCTCACTTCTAAATGTTTATAAGAGATAAAACAGTTTTGTTGTAGGCCTAACTATTATAAAAGTGTAGCGCGTTTACGTAGTATATGTACAAATGTTCTTTTAATCAACTTATATTTACACAAAAACTTTAAACTAGATTAAAACTACAAATAAACATAAATCTGTCGAGGAAATCACCAAAAACTCAATTGTAAAACTGAACCAAAGCAACGGTTGTTATGACAGCACTTGTGCCAAAACAACAGGTGTTTATTTTTGTTGTCGCCACCACAAATGTTGCGATATAATGTTGCAAGCCTGCTGATCGGTTAGTTTATTAATTCCTCACTAGGTTGCAGCACTATACAGGCATCATAACACAGTTTGGAATATTACAAATGAAAACAATGTTGTTGGCCAGTCCTCCTGGACGCTCGAGTGTTCGTTGGATTTCATGTTGAGCAGCACCGCTGGCCGCCCGATCGCAAAGGACAACTGCTGTGGAAATAAATCCGACTTCCGTGTGCTAATGGCGGCGGCCAGTAGAGCTGGCCGCACGACCGCTGAGGAATGATGGCAAATATTCATTCCGATTGCAAAGTGTTAATAAAATTTGGCATGTATGTTAAGGTAGAAGAGACCTATGTCATAAAAAAATCATCTTGAATCAATTTAAAATTTCAAAATGGCGGTCATTTTAATTTTTTAAACTTAAATTACTCAAAAACAGCTGATTTTATGAAAACATGTCAACAACACTTTTATTTAGCATTTTTAATTCCCTATCAAACAGTACCAAGTTCAGAAAAATCAAATAAGAAATAGCTGAAATATTAAGATTTTTAGTTGTAAAATGGGGTAGAAAAAGACAGAAGCTTGTCAGGTTTGACCCATTTTACAACTAAAAATCGTAATATTTCAGCTATTTCTTATTCAATCTTTTTGAACTTAAAGTCGTTTGATAGGGAATTAATAAGGCTAAATAAAAGTGTTCTAGAAGTTTTTTTTGTTTCATAAAGGTGAAATTCTCATGAGTTGCACACCAGACCTGACCAAGACGAGTTTTAAACCCTCGGTCTGTGGTGCTGTCTTCTGGCCAGGGAAATAACACCTTGAACCCCCCCCCCCCTCAAACCTATAGTTGGAGGATAGTAGCACTATGCTCGACTCCGGTGTGACGGTTTGCATGCGATAGATTGAATGGATTGTCATTATTTAATAACATACACAAATACATGAGAAGCTTGTAGATTGGTTATTTCACATGAGGACAAAGAGCTTTTCGTTAATCAGAAATGATGTTTCAAACAAAAGTTTTAAAATACCAAAGTATTTATTTATACAAAATATACAAAATCAATCATAGGTACATAATAAGTTACAGTTAACTTGCAATACACAACCAACCAAATAGCTACAAAAAACAGTTTTTATATTATAGAACAAAAATTAGCAAACAAACAAATAACACTTTCAATTTTTAAATAAAAATTATTTAAGGTGGGCGTATGTCTATGGCACTATATTATGCCCTTTTGGAATGGCTTTTATAGTTAGTTTGTTTAACATGAATAAATAATAGGTTCACTGAATATCTCATCAATACAATGGTTCTTGTGAGGGTGGTGTGAACCTTCCAGTGAACAGTTTATGCTGAATCCAGTTTCTTTAGGACACAGCAGCATTACTCTTCCTGACAGCTCTAGACTTGATGTTTTCCATAGTTCTGGTTATCATCCAGTAGGCGAAGGCGGGAGAGAGAGATTCCATTGTTTTGATAACACCCACCTGTTGTAGACACAAATAGTAAATACTTCAAACGGTTGGCAATGATTTTGCATGAAAGAGTTAAGACAATTGTGGAAGCTGCTTGAGAAGAATGCTATTCCCAACTGATTAGTGTAGCTGCCAGATTCTATAAACAATCACTTCCCTTACAAATAAGGCCCTGTCTGAGTTTGCGGTATTAGATCTATTAAAAAAAATATTTTTTACACAATATTTCTTAGTTTTTAAGTTGTTCCTACTGTAAAAATGGATAATACTCCATGAACCTAAATGCACAATCCCAAAACCACAAAAGAGTGTTAACTACTTTTGTCTAACTCAAACCAAATAGTACAGTAAAACCTCGCTAATCGAATTTCAGAGGGAAGACAATATATTTTGAACTATTGGATGTTTGAAATATAGAGAGTTAGAATTATAGAGGTCAGAGTCAATAAATTTTGAATTATGGAGATCCCAGTTTAAAGTGTCGAGTTTGAGTTATAGAGGTCAAGAAATAAAGTTCGAACAATATAGGTCCAAGTTTATTTTTAAAAAGCTAAACAGAATACTGTGCATAGTTCAAACACATCTCTTGGACAAAATACTGTAAATATGTATTACGGTACAGGACATATTGAATACAAACAAAATAACATATTAAACCAGATAAAATGACATTGAAGCAAAAACAAATTAATGACAAAATGTATTTACTGTGTTATACAGTATGTAGATTTCACCAGTACTTATTTTACAAACATTGTTCATTCAGTATTAAAAAAGTCTGTAGTTCGTTTTGAATTGAATATCAATAGTGTTCTCAATAGTTAAAATGGCTGAAAATATGTTATCACTGCCACCACTATCTCGTCATCTGTCAACGTTCATATTTCAACAGGCGTATTTTAGCGAATTTCCCTATAGGGAAGTAGCTATTACCGTGGGTCTCATGGTAAGACCTAAGCCCGGGACCGATTTACTTTTTCATTTTGATGTCCCCAGAGACCAAAAACACCATTCGTTCAAATTTTTATATATCTATATATATATGTGTGTCCATCCGCACGATAACTTGAGTAATTTTTGTCCGATTTTGATAAAATTTGGTTTGAAGGTGTAAGGCGGGATAAACTTGAATGAGTTCGCGAAACAGCATGATCGGACTATGGGAACGGGGGTTTATAGGGGGTTTTATGGGGTAAAAATAGGTTTTTCCCATTTTTGACCCTAAAAACACAAAATTTCACAATTTCTCTTTAAACCATTTTGTAGAGCTTAAAAAAACAAATAATTTAGTATATTGAAGCGTCATTATGCGCCTATTATAGAGAAAATTCAAAAAAATTGTAATTTTAAAATTCCCATGTTATTCTTATGGAGAATAAGTCAACTGTTGTAGTTTGCTTGTTTATGAACATATTTTGATCGATTTTGGAAAATACTTTTATTTCTTACTAAACTATTTTATAAAAAAAATCTTTTTTACCCTCCCTGTTGCAGCAAACCTAAGTACTCGTAAAACTAATTCTGTTTAAATAGGAAATAAATGTGCTATTTTTATGGAGGCATTTTAGTGTAAATCCAATCAGGTTAATGGAAATTCGCTTAGTCTGCAGGTTTGCTGCGGCGGGGGTATTTTGCCCTTAATTCGAATTGCAGAGGCTTACGGTAACACAGTTCGAATTGTAGAGATTGACTTCAAATTTTGGAAGAAACAGTTCAAATTACAGCAAGAAAATTTGAATTGTAGAGGCTCAAGTAGGTGCAAATTCGACTTGTAGAGTCTTAAGCGTTGATTAAGCGTTAAAAAACACTTTGAATTACCGGTATATTTTTTTTAAATTTTAGAGGTTTTCTGAGGGGAACAGAAAAACATAACTAACTATAGAGGCTTTTGAATCAGCGAGATTCTACTGTATTAAAAATCTAAACCATGCATTCTTTGAAACATTTGGTTTTAGCTCTGTAGCCTACACTTTGTATGGTTATGCTGTCCATGATCAGTTAGCTTTTGGCAAATGATCCTCTCTAAAGAACCATCTGATCTTACACAGTAACAAAGCTGTCACCTGGTTTATTCAAATCTCATTCTTCACTCAATAATGTGTCGGTGTGGTAGAAATCTAATCTAATTTGTTTATTGAAATATAAACAATGTATAAACTACTAACCAGCAGGGAGTGGGGGAAGTAGCCAGTAGTGTGTTCCTCAATGCCAACGGTGCGCAGAGCAGAGCTGACGTACTTGCCAGGGGAAGGGGCCATCCATGTGGGCTTCTTGATCTTGGACATCTTAGTGGCTACGTAGCCCGGGGTCAGACACTGCACTGTGATGCCGTAGCGCTTGTACTCCGACGACAGATCCCTGCTGAATTTGGACACAAACACCTGCACAATCACACAAGCAGTTAAGTATTTATATGGTTGTAATTATGTTTTGAGATGATTGGCATTTTTAATGGTCACAGTCTATTGGAACAAAGTATGAAAGTCAGTCTGTTGTCTAAGTTCTTTCCCTGCAGAATGTAAGGGCCTTAAATAGCTTACCTTGTTGGACTGAGCTATGAAGGTAGATATTTTACATACACTTATAAAATCAATTGTTCTACAAATATATAATAATTCATGATTTTTTCCACTTGATGCAGGGCCGAATTTACCTAGGGGCGGACGGGACGAGCGCCCGAGGCTCCCAGACCCAGGGGGCCCCTTCTTAATAAGTTCAAAAATTAATTAGGCCCTTACCGAATGAATGGCCGTTATGGGTAGTTGAAAATTATGATCTTGGGAAATTTATACGAATACTGTAAATTGCCGCGATTGCAAGAAATCATGACAGCCGTAGCCGTGATCGCGGGAAATCATAACGAGTTCTGCAGCAGTTGAAATATGATCCTAGATAATGGTCGGGATCGCAACTAATTGTCACGAGTATTGAGATAATGGTGGATAATGCCGTGATCACGGGAATCATCCCAAACTACGTCGAGATCCTATAAAAAATAGTCACAGGATTTGAACATACCAACTAAAAAGTATACTGTTTATCACGAAAAACAGAGACGATTGCGGCAAAACCCGATTGCAGGTTTTGCCACGATCGTGTGAAATCATCACAGGTGTTGTCCCGATTGCCGTGGTTGAGTAAAATAAAGGGGTTCACATGGTCGCTTAGAAGATAAACGAATGTTCCTGCTATCAGAAGACATTATCACATTTGCTGCCATGATCAAGAGGAATTTTCACGGATTTGGCCATGATCTAGTAATGATTACGGAACTGCTGTGATCGTGGGGAATCATCAGGGATGTTGACACGATTGTAGGAAATCCCCACATATTTTGGGGTGATTTTCATATAAGAGCACCAGTACAGATATCCAAAATCGCGAGAAATCATTGCGGATGTTGCTGCGATCAGGGAAAGCACCACGGTTGTTGCCGCAAAAGTGTTATAGAATGAAGTAAAGCTTTCAAAGTTTTTGCATTTTCTTTTATTTACCTTAATTAATTATAATTAATTAATTTTAGTTAGGCTATTTGTTCATGTGTTTTTATTCAAGTCACAAATGAAGTATGTATTGCACCAGATTTAAAAAGTTCTTTAATCTATGGTATTACAGTGAAAAATAAATTTTAAATAATCCTTATAGGCCTTCTTCGTGCTAGTTATTTTATTTTGACTGGATTTTTTAATTATTTGTTGAAAAGGATATTACACTTTAATCTTTGACTTAGGCCTATTGAAACAATTGGACTGTTTCAATAGGCCGAAATCGAGCAAAACTGAAACTTGTATTAAAAGAATAAACAAAAAACATAAACAGCAAGACCTTAATCAAAGAGTCACTCTAAAATAATTTATATGACTGATTATAGAATATAAAAAATATTATGATGTAAAAATATAAAAGTAATCTACAATATTTAAATTCACATTCACTCTCATGCTGCTTTTGTTATCTCTTACTTATAGTAGGCACACACTCTATGAACACACAGATGTCAACCACACACTGTAAAGTGAGCTTTTGACCTAATGTAGCTCAATTCCTCTCTTGACGCCAACCATTGCTACTCTTATTCTAGCATTGTTAAATTATTTCTACGATATGTTCTGTTTTAGGCGTGTTTAAATTAAGGGCCCCAACCCAAATCTCTGGTTGGGAACATAAGAGGGTAAGCAAATGGATCTAACGACAGATCTAGAATGGATACGCGTTTAACATTATTAGTATTGAAAAAAACTATACGATTTATTTGGCCAGGTGGTGCTTTGTTTTCAGCTTTAAAAATTGCTGTGACATCTATACAGGTAACACCATTGTAGCGAGGGAAGACACTTCTTATGTCTCTTATTATGTATGTAGAATCTCACTTGACTCCTCGGAGCCCTCGTCCCTGCAGAATGTCTGCCACTGTTTTCAAAAATTTGCAAATAAGCATTGTGACCCTAATTCCCGCATATTCTTTCATTGCATTTTTTGTTTGAATTGTGCTTAATTCTCCTTTGGGTTCTAGTGACATTGTTGTACTTACTTATATATCAATGAGTATTCAGGATCATCACCTTCTTGAGGAATTAGAGGGCCTAATCGGTGGTAAAACGTGTCATGAACCTTGAAATTGTCGATCCCCTGTGGAATTTTCTCATTTTTAATGAGATTTGGAGCTGATCATGACAGAACTGAATTGACGAATTTTATCCAAATAATTTCTGGATATAAGTCTCACAGTCTTTTTTTTGGATTGGGAGTTTCCAATAAGATCCTGAAGGTATGGTGAATTGTACAAATGAGGTAAACGAACCTTTCATTTATGGCAACAAAGAGTAAAAACTTAACCGTCTCGGTCAGTCTTTTCTTGCTTAAAATGTAAGCCACTACAATGTAAACATTTAACGTTCATTTGTCCGAGATTGTATATATCACAACGGTGGTTCTACCACTATGTACCCGTCAAATGTTCAATTGAGAGGTTTATGCAAGCGGTCATGTCCACGTTCCCTCCAGCCACTCTTTAAGTTCTTCGTCGTACTCGCGGCATTTGATTTTAAATTGAAATGAAATATGAAACAACAGAAAACGCTATAAAGGAATTGGAATTTTGATACACATTGTAAATTAGATGATAATATGGTAATGCAACGGATAACTGCCCTGTGAATAATCGAACTGTAACTACATGATAATCAGTAAAGTACGATGTAAGGTCAATCAACACACTGTAAAGTGAGCTTTTCCGACCTAATGTTGCAAGCCAAATCCCTCTCTTGACGCAAACCAGTACGACCCGTAATATAGCACTGTTAAATTATTTCTACGATAGCTTCTGTTTTAGGCGTGTTTAAATTAGGGGCCCCAACCAAAGTCTCCAGTTGGGAACATTGGAGGGCAAGCAAGTGGATCTAACGACGGATCTAGATTCGCGTTTAACATTATTAGTTTTTGAAAAAAAAAAGAAACTAAGATTTATTTGGTCTGGTGGTCCTCTGTTTTCAGCTTTAAAAATAGTGGCGACATTTATACAGGTTGCATCCAGGGACGTATTTAGGTATGTGCCGCCTCTAGGCAACAAAGTTTGCCGCCCCCCCTCCCCGCTCCACAACCCACTTTTAAAATTTCAGCGCACACCCCGACCTCCCCAATGGCCAATACATGCCCTTGCAGCTGATTTTGTAGAAAAATAATCGGTAATATTGCATGCTGCTTCAACAAATTTAATAACTTTTTCACCACACTATGATGTTTTTAGCTGTTTTACATGCCTTAATTGGTGGCTGAAAGTTGCGTTTTGCCGGCCATGCTAGCTGTCATCGTCATTTGGGGACCGAGTGGGTTCTTACGCTAAATTATTACTAGGGCCGCAAAATCAGCTGATCGCTTACTTTCTTAAAACATGAATGCATATTAAATACACAATCAGTATCCATAGCATTGCAATAGAATTGTTTTATTGTCACCGCTGCCTAGCAACTATTTATTTTAATTTTTGCTGATTCCTCAAATTATTTCTTCACATAACCTTAAAGTTGTAGTTGTGTTGCCTATCAGTGTGCATCATTATTGTGGTGAATACTGAATAGTGCTAATAAGGTATAGTGTGGTGAAAATAGCGTTTGTACCACGGACCGAAATGGTTTTACAGCTCTTGATCGTTTTAAGTCGACTTCGTCTCGAACTTAAAAACTATCTCAAGCCAGCGAAACCTCATTTTCGGCCCTAGGTACGAAATATACTATTTCATTTCGACCCCTTTAAACGGACGTTTTTTGTGCCGTTCTTATGCAAAACATTCTGACTGGGATAGGCCTACACGGAATGCAACTTTTTTTTATCCAAACAGCATTTTTACACTCCTATATTTTGCGGCTTGAAACGGCACATAAATTGTCTGTATGCAATGGTTCTTATAACGCGTTTCATTGAACACTTTTAGTCAGATCCACTTGAGAGACGTGCTATTGGCTTTGATTTGAAATGAAATAAATATGTTTACTTATATTATTTTTTAATTTACAAAAACACATGAATCGCAAAGAAAAAATTACGTACTTTTACAGAAAGAATATACAGTTTTAAACTAGTTAAGTTTGGTACAGTAGTAAGTATTTTGTTCACACTTTCCTTCTTGATTTCAACCTAGCAAAAAAGAACTTGCAGCTAGCGCTGCCGCTGCGTAGTGGTCAGTATGAAGTAAACAAAGGGGAGTGTTTTCTTCGTTTGTCACTACATAGCGGCCGGCACGGCGACCCGCTCCCCCGGCGAGCGTGTCCGCCAGACCAATAGGGGGCAGCACGGACAACTCTACACAGCTGTGTAATAAACTATTGACGTTTGTTTGACTTTAATGCGTTCTGAAATAGTTCTATACTTAATCAAAATATTTAAAATGGCTGTTTTGCCGTTCCCAGAATTTTTTGCTACATTTTTTTTAGATTAAAACCTTTTTTATTTTATTTTTTTACCCTCAAAATTTTGCCGCCCCTAAAATTTGCCGCCCTAGGCGGGCGCCTAGTCCGCCTATTCGGAAATATGTCCCTGGTCGCATCATTGTAGCGAGGAAAGCCAATTATTTTGTCTCTTATTATGTACATAAGAATCTGCCTTAACCCCTCGGAGCTCTCGTCCCTACAAATTTCGGCCACAGTTTTAAAAGATTAGGCAAATGGGTTGGCAATGTGACCCTATTTCCTACATATTTTATCATTGAAACTTTCCTTTCAAGTTCAAGTGTCTTGGATCTTGAAATTGTAGATCCCTGTATGATCCTCTCATCTAAATGAGCTTCAGAGCTGGCCATGGCAAAGGCGGAATTGAATTGACGAATTTTATTCTAATAATTTCTAGATCCAAGCCTCACAGCCCTGATTTCAGATTGGGAGTTTCCAATAAGTTCCTTAAAGTATGGTGAATTCCGCAGATGAGGTAAATGGTTCTCTCATTTATAGCAAAAAAGAGTAACAATTGAACTGTATCGGCCAGACTTTTTTTTTTGCTTAAAATGTAAGCCACCACAATGCAAACATTTAACGTTCATTTGTCAAGGTTAGAATATGTATCCCACACGATGGTTGCCACTCTGTAATCTTCAAATGATACATTGGGAGATTGATGCAAGCGGCCACGTTCGCGTTTCCTCCAACCACTCACAGTCTTCGTCTTACTGGTAGCATATTATTTTAAATTTATATGAATTACAAAAGTTAACAAAACAACCAAAAACACTACAACGGAATTGTTGTACACATTGTAAATTACATGATATTGTGATGTAACTGCACTGGAAATAATCACTTTCAAACATTCATTTCATCACACCAAACTGTAACCAAAACAACACGATCATTCAGTAAAATATGATGTAAGGTAAATACATTCAACTATTTACAAACAATTTGTTGTCAAGTCTTGATAGGAAACTCTTTATTTAAGAAACAGATATAGTTAACAGATGTTAAAATAAAAATATAGAACTCTGGCTTTGCTCTGGAATTAATAAGTTCCGCAGTCTAAGGTCAAACTTAAAAACTAAAAATAATTAAATATTTATTCTAAACACTTTGTTGTCTAGTATTGATAGGATGCTCTTCATCATGAACCAGACTTAGTTAACAGATTGAAATGAAATATAAATTCCAGCTTTGCTCTGGAAGTTTTAAGTCCTGCAGTCTGTGGTTAACCTTAAAAACTATTTCAAACTACGTCCATATGTTATTTGTAAACAAAGGGAAATGAGTTTAATCAAATGTCAACAGATGGCGCCGCCTTCCAAACTTTAGCCCTTAACTGTACTTAAGTGATGCCCTTTCATAATATTCTGAGACGTATTTGCACATCTACATGAAAATACCTTTAATTTGACACCTCAAACGTTAAAATCCATCAAGCGGTTATCGAGCTATGACTGTGAAAAGAAAACTGCTTGCGTATTAATATATAGATACAGTTAGAACAAACCAAAAAATCGTACATTGAAAATATTTTAACAGTTAAAATATTATATAAAATTACTTTATACAAAATTAAACATACTGATATTCTAACATGTTTAAATATTATTTCACCATTACATTGCTTATACTGTAATAGTTAAAATCAGTGTGCATGTAAGACACATTACATTGTGTATATAATCGTATATTCATGCTGGGGGCCCCATATTGGCAGATTTGCCCAGGGCCCCTGAAGCACTAAGTCTGGCCCTGACTTGATGCTAGTACAATGTATCTTTAGAATTGAGTTTAATTTCAATGTATCTTGAGAAATAATTATGGTTTAAACATCCGAGCTGCAATTTCATTCCCATCTATTGATAACTTTAGGTCTTTTTTAAACTAACTTTAAACACGTTGGTGTTTAGCCAGTTTTTGGTTTGATTGCCGCAGTGCCAAACAGAATTAATTGTAGTCCTGTTCTCAGCTACATGATGTTTTTATACTTGTTTATCTTAGTTATAAATGTTCCATACAAAAGTTAATACAGTCCACTCTTGGTAATTCAAACACTTGATAATTCAAAACTTTCGATAATTCAAAATGAAGGCTCAGTCCCTAGAGAATCTCTCAATATTTCAAATTTTTACCATGCATTTTGATACACTCGGTATTTCAAAGTCCAAATAGAGGGCAGGTCAATTTGTAACACGCAGTAATTCAAAGTTTCGTCGGAAAAACACTCTATAATTCGAAGTAACTCAGTAATTCGAAGTTTCGTCGGTTGGCACTCTATAATTCGAAGTCATGCTGTAATTCGAAGTTTCGTCAAAAAAACACTCTCTAAATCAAAGTCACGCAGTAATTCGAAGTTTAGTCTGCAAAACACTCTATAATTTGAAGTGATCTCTTCCTGTTATAACAGGAAACTATACAGTACAGTACATCCTGTCCTGTTCCCATGGTAGGCTAGTGTTGGACGTTATGATGTTTGTTTAGTTAGAGCAGTACTGAGTTAGTTCGCTGACTTGTTTTTCTAAGTTGGCAATCCGATCTCTAGATTGCGCGACATCTCCTTGAGCACAAACGTAGTTGTCGACAACTGATAGTTCAGCTATTGGCGAAATATATAGCGCTAAATAACAGTTGCAACTATGTACATTAACTGAAAAATAAGCCGTTGATTGTGCTAAAAGTGTACTAAAATACGGTATGATGTTTTATTGTAACGTGCTGTACCTTTGTATGTATTAAACAAACGAACTCTCTGTAATTCCAATGGTTTATTTTTCTCCCGATAAATCAAACTCTTGATAATTCAAAACTCTTGATAATTCAAATTGATATGCTTGGCCCACCAATTTTGAATTATCAAGAGTCTACTGTATTTGGAACCCAATAAAAAATTGGACCAATCGGGTCGGCACTGATTAAAAAAGTTGCTAGAAAAAAGTAGGGCCAACCCCATTGCTCCTCAGGTAATTTTTCGGTTTTCGAGGGTAATTAGCTTTAGTTCTTAGATTGGTCGCTAGTAGTCCATCACTGACCTCTATCTGTGATTTGGTGAAACACTGCACAACCCTGGGCACCGGCCCGATCAAGTCAGCATGTTGCTTTTCCTCCCTACCTAGTACCTACCTATGCCCGCCCGGTTGTGGCATTCAACGTGTTAAATAGGTAGCCTACATGTTATGCAGTACTGTCCTGATAATTAGACCAATTCATTAATACCAAGGCAAAAATGTGGTTCGGATTCCACTTTAAGGTGTAGGTCCCTTAGTTGCCACTAGCTGTATGGCTATTAATTAACAGATATGTCTAAGGAATATTGTCTAGGAAGGTTCAGTGACGTGTGCCGGCCGGCCAATTATGTTAAATGTCCACCGTGTTCGTGTTATGTTTGTGTGTTCGATGTATTTAAGATTTGACGACATTCAACGAATGTAATATTTTAACGTTCCGTTTTTGATAATGACTACGTAGTAGTCGAAACTATAGTCAACAGATACCGACTAAGGAATTGTGGACGTCAAGGTACGTAACCTGTTATATATGGAATATGTCAGCCTTAGTCACTAACAAGACTACAAGATCGCGTCACTCATCCTACACTCATCTCCATTCATACTTGGCTTAAAATACCTACTTTGTATGGTTGCCATTTCAATGAAAAAGTATTAAGGTAACTCAGTACTCAAATATAGTTTTTTTTTAATTTTTTTTTTTATTATTTAGTTTTGTAGAACAGACTTTTCTGAACACGTAGATAATAAAAATTAAGGAAGAAAAAAATTATTTTTAAAAATTTCAGCTACTTTTATAAACTATTGCAGCCTAATTTAGCATGTCCAAGGTCCTACTACTAATCAAGACGCAGAGGGTACGCTGTCAAATATTAATTTTTTTAAAACATTTTTTATTATTTAGTTTTGTATAACACATTTTCCTGAACACGTACATACCAAAATTATGGAAGAAAAAATTATTTTAAGCTATACAGCGACTTTTATACACTCTTACTTTAGCATGCCCAAGGGTCCTACTAATACCCGTGACAGGGGGTACTTGTGTCGTTTTCCGAAAGTCAAGTGGTTTTTAGTCAGGTACACTTTTCTTCCTCAATTATAATCCAATTTCAATAAAAATTGGTGTGTGTGTTCCTCATATGATAAGGAACAATAATACGAATCAGTTTCCATGACAACCAAAAACCTTTGAAATAAAAAAATATTTTATGTTAAAAAATTACAAAATATTTTATAAAATTTTCAAAATCATACAAACAATTTAATTTTGCTCAAAAACTTTTTTTCTTCATATTATTGTTGGTAGTAATGTATTAAACTGGAAACAAAAATTTCAAGTTGATAGGTTAATATTTGTAAAAGTTATGTGTACCTAAAAACTGTCATTTTAACATGGGCGGGATAGGGAGTACTGTGTCACCTTAAAGTATGTGTTATGTAAAGTCAAGTGTATTATAAAGGGCTGTGGAGAACAGACAGTAAGGGCAGTGATGCTTCACCTCACTCAGTGGGTGTTGGTAAAATGTTGCAAAACACTGTTGCAAATCGTAAAACCTGTTTGCTGACAATTTTAAACACTTCAATTTCTATTAGAGTAGGTTGTCCTACCTTTTAAACAAAAAATTCAGATTTTGAATTGAGAAGCTTCCGAAAAGAATTTAGAGTTTTATAACATTTTCTACTAATAAGCCCTCCCAAGATATTTGAGTAAGGGGAGTTGCACACAATTGTAAGTGTGCACACTGAACAACATTGTCTCGGGCAAAAAATCTTAAAAACTTGCACCTGATAGGCCCAAACACAAGTCTGTCTGTGTGGGCTTGTTGAAATGCCTAAAGAAAATTCACTAACAAATTGACCTTTCCAGAGATACCTAAGTATTTAATAAGTGACCATTCTAAAAAAATAATAAACAATAGAAGGTTATACCTTGGATGCACCATACACAGCCAACATAGGGCTAGGGATGTCCCCGGCAGTAGAGCCGATGTTGATGACTACACCTCGCTTCTGCTCACACATATGTGGCATGACGATCTGACACATGGACAACATGGCAGCAATGTTGCACTGGATGATGTCATGATACACCTAGACAACAGTTTTATGTTTGACATGTACTGCATCAGATTGCTGATGGTTTATTTATAAGGCTAAACTTTCTAAAGTTTATAACAGTTGATGTTAGTGTTGCTAATGATTTATTGTGAGTGAAGATGAAAGGATTTGTGATTTAATGTAAAGATGATAGACCTAAAAAAAATGTTCATGTAAATTTAATAATTAATTAGTAGTTTTGCAACTTGAAGATTGAAATTTAAAATGTCAAAATAAAGAAAAAGATATGTAAATAAGTGAGTTGAAGGTAAATCATGCATGTGAAAATGTTATTTGAAAATTTGCTAAGATTTCACATGTAAACCTACACAAGATTTAAAGTTATCATAAACAAAATGGCGGTTTCCCCTACTTACCAGTTTAAAAAGCCATAAATCTATATCTATCTATACTATTATATCAAAATCTAATGGTGTCTGTCTGTATGTGTATTACTAATAGTTACAAAAACTACTGAACCAACTGGGCTTAAACTTTACAAAAATATAGCTACCATACCAAGGACCATTATAGGACTATTCACAATTCGATACTGACCGTGGGCTTTACCCCTTTGGTTTTAAAAGTTCTGATGTGAGGATTTTAAAAGTAAATATTGATTGGTCTCCATGGCTGCAATAAGAATACTCACAATGTTTACATTTGCTTTGACATTTCAATGTGAACCAGAAGAACTGCCAAATTGCATATTTCACCATTTAAGTCAGCTGATCCAATGAAATTAAAATATAATATTTCACACAATTATGTGGTTGGTTTATTTAATAATAGCTGTACCCACGGGCTTTGCCCCGTTTAACTTCATAAGTGAGCTCGTTCGCATGGCTCAATCACGTCCTGGTTGAAGTTCGTTCGCTACGCTCACTCACCTTTAGGTTGCCTTCAGGTTAGCTCGTTCGCTACGCTAACTCGCCTCCAGGTTGAAGTTTGTTCGCTACGCTCACTCACCTTTTGGTTGCAAATTAGCTGTTATGATAAATTTAAAAAAAATAATAGTGCTGCACCCTGTTGGTAATCCTTGTAACTTTAATGCTATTGAACATCATAGAACAAAACCAACTTGTTTAATTGAAACAGCTGTTAAGATTCATTAATTCCATTTAAATATGAGTACTCATAAGGTTAACATGGGAAACTCCAGAGCCACTGGGGCGGAGCCCTTTTGACGGATCTGCACCAAACTTCACACAAACCATCCTTGAATAATGCTTAATAATGCCTGAAGGTTTCATTACAATCTGTCGAGGTTTCGGAGTCCATAAAGGACAAACAAACAAACATACATACAAACAAACATACATTGGATTTTATATATATAGATAAAAATTTATCAAAGATAATTTATTCAAAAACTATGCCAATGATTATAGAAATAAAAAAAATATTCTAAAAGCAATGCTGTATCAACTCAGGATCTGCTTTCGATTTGTAAAGTGTCTTAAGTGTTATGAAAATAATGTAATTGATATATTTAGTATAGATGTTTTGTATGCATTTGGAGGCTACTTTAAATAAATTCGAACTGCTTAATATGTGTTAGATTAACTTAACATAACTTGCACATCATATTGTTTTTTTTTAGATGTGTATTTAGGTGAATTTAGTTATTGTGTTTTGCTAAACCTATACCTATGCTTAAATTAAACTAAAGAATATCATCAATAACTAAATTGTATGTCGTTGATTTTTGTGTTATAAAATCTGTTGTATATGTGTAACTATATTTAACTATCAAATGGTAATACAAAATGCTCTAATTTTATCTTAACATAGCTTTCAGTTCACATTTACTTTATTTGATGAATTAATTATTTGTGTTTTGCCACACCACTGATTAAATTAAACCAAGGAAAATATCATAAAACTAATAAGTAGTAGGCTTACACAGTGTTCCTTTTTTTCTAAAATCAATTAAATATTACTACGTTTACTTAATGGTAAGTGTGAAAATGTAAAGGCAGTGGACGATGGAACTGATTAAAAGAACTGGTTTGTATATTAAGGTGTTTGTTGATATTTTTAGCGAATTTCCCTATAGGGAAGTAGCTATTACCGTAGGTGGCACGGTAAGACCTAGACCCGGGACTAATTTACTTTTTCATTTTGATGTCCCCAGAGGCCAAAAACACCATTCGTTCAAATTTTTATATATGTATATATATATATATATATAGACTTATATATATATACGTCCGTGAACGCGATAACTTGAGTAATTTTTGTCCGATTTTGATTAAATTTGGTTTAAAGGTGTAAAGCGGGATAAACTTGAATGAGTTCGCGAACCAGCACGATCGGACCATGGGAACGGAGCTTTACGGGGGGTTTTATGGGGTAAAAATTGGTTTTTCTCACTTTTGACCCTCAAAACACAAAATTTTCCGATTTCTCTTTAGACCCTTTTAAAGAGCTTAAAAAAAGAAATAATTTAGTATACAAAAGTATTTTTGTTCGATTATTAGTAACGGAGAAAATTTAAAAAATTGTAAATTTAAAATTCCCATGTTATTCTTATGGAGAATATTGTAAAATGTTGTAGTTTGCTTGTTTATGGATATATTTTGATCAAACTTGGCAAATTTATTTATTTTGTACTAAGCTATCAATATTTTACTCAAAAACACACTTTATTAGTTTCCTTGTAGCAGCAAACCTAGGTACTCGTTAAACCTAATGTTATTAAAATATATTTAACTGAAAATCAATTCAGACAAATGGAAATTCGCTTAGTCGGCAGGTTTGCTGCAGCGGGGGTATTGTAGAGTAGAATCAGAGATGTAATGAAACATATAATGTAATTGCTATTTAATTTTTTAGTCCTTGATGCTTTGATAATCACATAAGTTTTGTCTGCTGTATTTAATGCAAAATTATTTGTTTGAAAAATTTTTATAGTATAGATATAGTTTCTTTAATATTCCAAAAGATTATTGATAAGGCACAAATATATTTTTAAAGTTTATAACAACTGACTTAGTTTAGCTAATGATTTATTGTGAGTGAAGAAACTGAAGATGGAAGGATTTGTGATCTACAGTAGGACCTCAATATCTCGAATCTGAAGGGGTTATGATAAAAATTCGAGTTATCAAGTTTTTCAAGTTAGTGAGGTTCGAGTTATGAAGGTTCCATATGAAAAAGTTCGAGATACTGAGGTGTTGGGGTCTGACAGTGATGTTACGTCATGGCCTTTATAACTCGACTTATACATGTTAAACCTTAATAATCAAACTCAAACTGTATTTATACGTAACTTACTGAAGAGTAACTTTGGAAGCAAAATAAAACAATTTGAATGCACATAAAGTACTGTATTTATTATTTGGCAATAAGTTTGATAAAGTACATAAAAAACATGTTAAATGACAAAAAAAATAGTTTAAATACTGTACAAAACAATAATACAGTATATATCATCCATACACGGAACTACATTTACTGTGTATAATGTTTGATTAAAGCAAACGTTAGTCAACCTCTTTATATGTACTGTAAAAACAAGCTAGGTACTGTAACAACAAAAATACTGAATAGGTACAATACTGTACATACAAAAAGTATGTAGACTGTAGAGAGTAATATTTAAAGGGAAAATTCTAGTGTGATTAAAATAATAAACAAAATGCATCGTAATGTAGTTAAGTACTGAATCTACTTTGGCAAAACGGGTAAACTACACTGACTACAGTGCCTAGCCAAACAGACACGGGAAGCAAACACAGGAAGTTTGATTTTCACGTCTCGACAGGAATCACAACTGACTTGCACTGTTATGGCAAAACTTCGAATTATTGAGGCACATTCATGCGAACTTCGACTTATAAAGGTAAACTTCGAGTTACTGAGGCTCGATGACGGGAAAATTCGAGTTATAGAGGTAGAATGTTACTGTTCAAAAGTTGTTAAAATTCGACTTATTGAGGTTAAATATTTAGAAACTTCGACTTATAAAGGTACTTTTAACATTATGATTAATGTGGATTTCAAGGGGATTTAAAAAAAATCGAGATATTGAGGAATTCGAGATATTGAGGTTCGAGTAATTGAGGTTCTACTGTATTAGCGAATTTCCCATATAGGGAATAAGCTATTACCGTAGGTCTCATGGTAAGACCTAGACCCGGGACCGATTTACTTTTTCGTTTTGAGGTCCCCAGAGGCCAAAAACACCATCCGTTCAAATTCATATATATATATATATATATTTATATATATATATATATTTTTATATATATATATATATATATATTTATATATGTGTCCGTTAGCGCGATAACTCGAGCAAAATTGATCCGATTTTGATGAAATTTGGTACAAACGTGTAAACCTACATTTATTTGAACGAGTTCGCGAACCAGCATAATCGGACCATGGGATCAGGGGTTTATGGGGGGTTTTATGGGGTAAAAATGGGTTTTTCTCATTTTTGACCCTAAAAACTTTAAATTTCTAAATTTCTCTCTAGACCATTTTGAGGAGCTTAAAAAAACAAATAATTTAGTATATTGAAGTGTTTTTGAATGTTCATTGACTACGGAGAAAATTAAAAAATTGTAAATTTAAAATTCCCATGTTATTCTTATGGAGAATAAATAAACTGTTTTAGTTTGCTTGTTTATGGAAATATTTTAATCAAATTTGGCAATTTGGTTTATTTCATACTAAGCTATCAATATTTCAATTAAAAAAAACACACCTCAACATCTTCCCCGTAGCAGCAAACCTAACTACTTACTAAAATTAATGTTATTTAAATAGGAAATAAATCTGAAAATTTATAGGGAATATTTTAGAAGAAATCAAGCCGGGTAAATGGAAATTCGCTTAGTATGCAGGTTTGCTGCGACGGGGGTATCTATACTATTATATAGAAGAGGTGGTGTCTGTGTGTGTGTGTGTGTGTCTGTGTGTTTGTATGAGATAATCTCAAAAACCACTGAACCGACTGGGCTCAAATTGCACACAAATGAAGC